AGAAAAATGCCTGCCTGCCTGCCTGCCTGCTTGCTGGCCTGCCTGCCTGCTTGCTGGCCTGTATGGAAGTAGTAAGCAAAACTATTCACATATTAAAATTCAGATGTCCAAAAGTAACAAAAGTAAGAAAAGGAAGCAGGTAGATTCATTTATTCCCCATCCTGCTCTTCAATATGAAAACACTAATGAAAAATAACTAACAGGATTTTTATTGCCTAAATTTTAGCAGTTCTTAGGTAACCATATTGAAAAGGCAGGGTGAAGCTAAATGGACTTGCTTAGTGCTGCTAGGCTCCTTCAGAAGTAAGGCTACTTTAAGTAGTTATGATTTTAGCAGAAATGCATCTTTTCCACTTGCTTAAAAGCTACGAACTGTCTGGAAATGCAAACTACTTATAAAAGGACACTGAATTTAGGGGCAACAGTAATCATGGAAATCACTGTTGCAAGAACAGTCACAAAATCATCAGAGCTATGAGAGCACTCTGCGCGCTTCAAGGACCCATGGTCTCCTCCCCTCCCTCCACTGGCTCTTTCTGCCTTATTCAAGGACATTAACTCCAGGAGGAACTCTTCTCTCTCCCTCTTGTTCCTTGCCTGTCTGCTGGCTGCAAGAACCTTGAGTCTGCAAGAAACTGCTGACCTACCTAATACCTGAGCAGGACGGTGGTGTGTGTATGTGTATCTGAGTGTGTGTTTTCCTCACAAATTCCATCTCTATCTCTCTAATGTACAAATAAATCGTTACCGCATACAAATATAGTTTGGCCAGTTATGTATTACGGGCTAAAACTCTGGCTAACATCTGTGACTGCAGCATTAGTTCTGATAAATATTCGCATGTAAACAGGACAGACAGTTACAGAACTTGTATCAGAACTATTATAGAGTTATGTAGAACTATTTTACCATTATTTTAATTTCATTCTAAAACATAAAAATTTTAGTTTGGAGATGTAAAACCTATTATTAAGAAGGAGCACCTTACAACATATGCAATACATTAACACATTCGAAGTATTTTCAAGTCAAAAGTGAGCTGACTATCTGACTGCAGAGAATCATAGAATCATTTAGGTTGGAAAAGACCTAAAGACTCAGAATGATTTATTGTGTTGCACTGTTCCAAGTCCTAAAATTAAATGCAATTAATTATATTGATAACAGCATTATACTATTAAATGGTGTAACATGAAGTTCTGGTAGGATATATTCCCAATTCATATGAGCTGTTCCATTTGTTGACAAATTATTTGCATTGGAAACAGATCCCCTCCAACTAAAGTAAAGGCATGGAAAAAGTTTACGTAAAGCAGTACATATCCCTTTTAATTGTCTTATCTTTCAGGTTTTCCTAATGACTCACTGCTAAATGGAGATACTTTCAGCTGGTGAAATCTGGTTGACAAGAACATCTTTAAAGTACACCACTTTCACAAAAAAAATCTTGAAATATTCTGCCACCTCCAAAACTCTTTGCTAAAAATGTAACTTAGAAAAAAAATCAAAACCTTTTATCTGCCTGAAAATCAGCAAAATTTTGTCTTGAAGTCTAAAATTCACTCTCTATTTCCAGTTTTCAAGGAATGTTCCACCTTTAACCAAATATAAAGGATTCTGAGATGCAAATTAAATATTCTCTTCCAATAAGAATTGATTTTTAACAGAAAAAATGTCAGTGGAAAATTTCAGTCTACTCTGCCACTGACATTAGTGGATCCAAGGTAATACAGATTGCACTAGAGGACCGAGAGACATATTCCAAGTGTTTTCTTAGTTATTTGGCACTTGGTTTGCAAGAGTTATTGTTTTCAAAATTTTCAGAATTTCTAAAACTGCAGACTTGCTCTTGGAAACCACCCTTACCTGAGTCAGTGGCACAGTTCATATAGGACAAGAGCATGCTAGGGAGGCACAGGAATATTTAATTTGGTAGTCCACTGTTTTTCTATTGCAAGAAGTAATGGTACAATATGAAACTAGAAGAGCCATATTTTCCTATATGCAGAACAAGATAACCTTCATGCTATCTGTTCAGTGTGGCTCGCTTCCAAGGCCTTGGAAACATATAAACAAATCCACTTATCTATATTTGATTAGTAGGCTTGGTGTACCTCATCCTGTTCAGTTTTACAAAAAAGCCTCACAATGCAAACAGCTAAAAATGCATTGTTACAGATTCTTAATTGGATTTTAATTCACCACTGCTTTCAAGGAGAAATATAGCTTTCTCCTTCTCTGTGAGTCAACTAGTCAAAAAGTTATTCTGGCAATTTTGTGCGATCCTTGCCTTCATTTAATACTGATCTTTAATGAATGGAAGTTTCCTTGACACCTCCTCCGTGAGACTAAGGAAAAGGATGAATAGCGAGGAAAAACAGGCTATTGCAATGGTAGTGCAGGTCTGGCATGGCCCTCTGGAGGTCACAGGCTCTTCCAAGGGGCACATATCCAGGCTGCGGCTCATCTGTGTCATGCCTTCCCCCAGTGCAACAGGTATGGCTACGTCATCGTTTCTGTCTGGCAAAATAAGGCATTAAAGCAAGGGGTAGTCTGGGACACAAAAGAATAAACCCACAATACAGAGGCATAGCAGAAGGAGAGCATGAGAAAGAAGTCAAATTAGACTGACACATGATACACAATAAATCTGATAGTGACTAACGAGACAAATTGGACAAGATTTCCAGTAAGCTACCCTATACCTTGCTAATCTGCCCCTGTGGTGATTCAACTTACCGATTGTGGGGAAAAACAGGAAAGCGCAGTGGCAATTACATAAGAAATGCAGGCAATTATTTATCAGCAATTTTTTGTTTTTGTTTTCTCTTATAAACAATAAATCAATTCAGATTGAAAACTCTTGGCCTGACCTGGTTAGATCTTTGTCTGGCAAAAGCTCCAAAGTCTTCAAACTTAGTTTCAGTCAGTTTCTTGACATAGACATCCTGGCAATTCTGCATGGGTAAGTCATGGATAGCAGAATTAATTATGGGTTTGCATCAGGTTAAACTTAAACTGATTAAATCTGCTTTTTTTAACATGAGAAATAAAACTAAATATATATTACTCCCTCCTTACATTTAGAACTATACGTTCATATATACTTACACTGCATGACAGCATATCATTTGTCAATGAACAGAAACAGGAGGAAATGAGAGATCTGTTTGAAGTAGCACATATATCCCGTGGTATAAAGAAACCACAAGAAAAGCTTGCGGGGTAACGCTCTTTAGTGCATTCATTTCTGCTACTTTCTTTACAGTTCTAGTCCACCACAAGATAAGAGGAAAAGGGTGGGGAGAGGTGTCTCACAGGGAGCCAAATACTCCTCCTCCATTTCAGCAGCAGTGAACTTAGGTTTCCAAGAGCTGGCAAACCAGGATTCTGCAAACTGAGAATGAGATTTATTGCCCTAAATCTCATTTGCTACTTAATCCATTCACAGAAATACATCTGCTCTTTGTACTTGAGACACTGACTTTTAAATTTCTTTTTTTGATGTCATAAAAGGTGACAATTTAGTATAAAGAAGATTGAAATTTAATTTTCAGTCTTTCGGGTGTAACAGTTCCCTTTTGAGTTGAACAGTACTCAAGTCCATAGTGATAAACTTGGGGACCAGATACCTGAGTCCTTGGAACATCCCACAACCAGCCAATAAACTTTTACTCATGCATCAGAATAATTCACATATTCTAAAAAGAAAAGTGAAACTAGCTTGAAAACTACTGATGAAAACCAATATGAAACTAGAAGAGTCATATTTTCCTTGCAACTAAGTAAATTGCAACTAAGAAAATAGAAGAGTATGTTAAATTAGTCGAAGTTTCCAGAGGGATTTCACCATTCTCTCAATTGCGACACTACCCAATTTTCACTACATGTAGTCCTAATCTGTTCTATTGGTGTATATTAAGAAATCTATTATCCTGATAGCAGCAAGTTTCTTTTATAACTGTCATTTAGAGTCATCATAGGCCTTTAGGATCAAGAAAGAGAAAACTAAATCATGTACCACACAAGTACTACAGCAGTGCGAGAGTGACACCAGACTATTGCAGGGGGACACAGGAATCATTTTTACAACCATCAGGAGCAGCAATGCCTTCATCTTCATCAAGTATTTGGTGGGCCTGAAGGCAGTCACCAGTCACAAACTCAAGTATCTTCCCCGTATCTGCTGGGAAGTGAAAACCAGTGGGGCAGCTCCTGAGGTAATCAGACCATAAAGGGATTTCTCTGTGACAGCGACTGTCAGCCTCAGCAAGAAGTTACATAAGGCACGCAGAACGGCAAACACAGCCACCATCAGTCAACAGCACTTTTAGGCACCACCTTTACGAAACATTCCCTGTGTGGGAGGAGTCACGACAGCTCGCACCCTCCGCACTCAGCTGTCGCTCCCCACGCCAGCCCTCGCCCCCCGTCGGTGCCGGTGCTGCTCCGAGGAGGAAGCACGGCAGAGTTGGATGCGGCGCCGTGCGGGCGTTCGCGCTGGCAGCAGGCGATGCGGGGGCAGCACCAGCCTGTTCGGCAGCCACCCCGGTTCATCCAGATACCTTCCTTGCTGCCTTCCAGCCCGAGAGCGAGCTGAGGGAGAGTTAAGGGCAGGGCCTGGGCAGCGACCAATGCCCCCTAGGCTCTCCATGCCCGCCCCTCCGTTCCTGCCACCCTCCCGAGCAGCCTCAGCTCTGCTGCGCTCCCGGGGCCGGCAACGGGACAGGACGTGTCCCGTGCCGGCTGCCCTGAGCCTGCCCAGCCCCTGCCCAGCCCCGCCGGGGCGATGTGCCCTTGCGGGCACCCCGCGCTGGAAGCGAAGCTTGCGACAGAGCTCGGCACTTTTGGGACACCGGGGCTCTGCAGAGGAGGGTGAAACAGCAACCGCGAGTGCCTTCCCGGCGGCAGCTGCGTCGGGAGAACGGTCCGGCTGTGCATGCACCTCCCCGTCTTCCTGCCCCGACTCCTCTGTCCCGCGGTGCCGCCCCCAGACTCACCCGCCACCGCCTCCCGGAGGCGCCCGCCCGGTGCGCTCGACGGGCCGGCTCTCCTCGGGCTGGAAGTGAGACCGCGGAAAAGCTGAAACCACTTCTCTAACTTTGTTTTGAGCACGGGTGACATAATTGGGCGAGGCGGGCTGCGCCCGGGGGCGGGCCGGCCGTCCCGGCCTTTCCCTCCCCCTCCCTACCTGCAGCCAGAGCGCGGTTGCCCCGCCCGGCCTCACCTCACCTTGGACTAGAGAGACTCGCCCTCGGCGAGACCAGAGAGCCAAGGGAACTTGAGGAGCCTCAGTCTTCCCTGGTCCCTCTTGCAGTCAGGACTACATGTACGACGGATCTCCAGAGTAAGGGTGTGGGTAACCTAAAGGGAACAGGGCAGGAGAGTTTGGAAGGGCGCAGGAACGCTCATCGACAGCAAGATCTTAAGGTGGCGACCAGTCCAAATGGACCATGTAGGATCTTCCCCATCTTGTCATCTCAGACTATCCGACTTCTATTTACAGAAGGTGGTGATGGGGAGACAGAATTAGTTCACATTCGATTCAAAGATTTCACTTAGCCTAAAGTATGTTTTGAAAAGTACCTGCTTCTAGGATCAGGTTTTCTGAGTAGTCCCTCCAGGAAGAGAAAAAACTTCAACATAATTCTCATCACTGTACCATCCCAACTGCAAAATAGTTCTTAGGGCATGGTGTCTGAAGAAGGCTTCACCTGCTTCTTGATCAGGTGATCTGGTTGCAGACACATCTAAGACCTCAACTGCAGTGGTCTGTTCTTGGGTCCTTACCCATATTGTCCACAGGTTCAATAACCGTTCCAAAGTAAAGCTCCATTCACCCAAGGCACTCCTTTTCACAGTAAACAAGAGCTTCTACTTGCCTTTCCAACCCATCTTTCCTGAACAGCCTGTAATCCTTCAGGCTTATCTCCTTAAAGTAAGCTACAATACTAGAGCATTGGTAAAAAAGCAAATCTTGCAGCTATAAAGGGGAATGTGAAGACAACCTGCAGGTAGTCTGCCAAATACAGGCACACATGTATGCCTGGTAGAACTACTTACAAAGCACTACAAGTAATTGCTTAAAACAGTTATTAAACATCGAGTTGATTATGTGAGTTTAACTGGGATAGCTTCTGCAATAGGAAACATTTCTTCACATATTATTATGATTCATAGACTGTAGACTTATACAAGTTTCCACAAGGCAAGCTTGAGTGTGGATTTACAGTACATTAAAATGCCACTCGACAGTTACTGCTCACATTCATGCTCAGTAAAAAGGAGTAAATATTTGAAACTTGCTTACCACAGCAGCTGCCTTATATGTACTCTGGGCTAATATAGGCACACAGGTAGTTATCATAAAATCATCAGCATGTTGAATAGCTATAATACTCTGCACATACTGACTTAACTCGGGCTAACTTTTATATATTTAACCTTTTGCTATGTGAGTAAAATAGCGGGTAAAAGATGGAATTACATTTCTTTTAAATGTGTGGACAGTCTTCCAAGATTCTTTCAGAGAAATGAAGGCACACTGTCAGCCACAAGGTACTAGACACAGTTCAGAAGCTTGTGGAGAAACTGAAGACAGCATATAGAAAGTTTCATAACAGCAGGGGATTTGCCACATGCATGGGGAAAAAAGCTCGCTGAAGTAGCATTTGCAGACTTAGTGGTAGCATTAATGTATTAAGGCCCCAGGGAATTTATCTGAAAACTGAGGATTGCTTAGGTATCTTGTTGCAACGACTCATTCAATTTTCTTCCTTATCATTTAGTATGAGGCAGTTTGGACTTTCAAGTTTCTATAAGAAAGTTTTGGGGCCTACTAAGCAATAGTAGAAGAGCTGGTCAATGAAGTTTTCTAGGTCTTGTCTAGACAGCTAATGCGGTTTTTACATATATCTGTGGATACTTTGGAGTATAGCCTTACAGAACCAGCTAGAAATAGGCTATCGCTCTCTGTTTTTGTTCTCTCTCATAGCAAAAAGCCATGGATTCTATTGCACTCCTGTACTGCTGTGATTTCATTCAGCAGTTTCTGATCATATACCTTCATATGCATTCCATTTCGTAGCTGATGATGGCAGAGACAGAGAGGCTGATAGACTTCAGCAGCCAGAGTTTGTTCTTTATGAATAGCCAGAATCAAATCCATTACCATAGCTCTCTCCTGAAGTAAGTGGATTGAAAAGCAGTAAACTCATATACTGTGATGTCGGAGACTATGGCGCTAACTGCAAAGGGAAAAATTAGCCCAAGAATAAAGGTTGGGCATGAATCTACTTCTTAACACAGGCCTAAATTACAGTGCTAAATGGAATACTTTAAAGGATTAAACCCTTTTATCTGGGTCCAAAATTGTCTTCTATAAAATTTAGGCATAAACTCACTTGATTTTCTTCAAGGACTAAAAGCAGGAGATTTTGAAAAACACTGGGGTGCAAAACATATTGTCTGGAGCTAGGATCCTTCTGACTGCTACGTTTAATGTACAATGAGTTAGAAACTGGATGACAGTTTCTACCACTGGGTTATACAAATGCCAGAACTACAAACAGAAACATGGTAGGCAGAAGACAGCTTGCAGCACTTAAGTCAGGAAATGCCAAGTGCAATATAAAAATAAAACCACCGCCCTTTAAATAAAACAGGCTGTATTTCAGAGTTTATTTAGGGTGATGTGTGTTTATTTCAGTCTGGAAAGCCATCATACTGCTGGGATGCAAGGGGTCATTTCCTTCTGCATTTAGGCTGTTAGAGGCCTGTTTTGTCTTTCCACACTAATGCAGCTTTTAATTGCCTATGAAATTGCACCACCCTGAGGGAACTTCATAGTAACATTCAAAATCGTGCTTGCTTTCTTTATGCTCAAGGATCAGAGGAAAAGCTACAGAAACTGGAATCATATATTTATGAAATTTACAGATTTACAGTAAATTTTACCAGAAATTTACATTAAAATGCAAATTGTATTAAGTGACAGCTAGGAAACTGGAGGTCTTCTATCTTTTCCAGCTCTGAAGTCATCTGACTTGCCAGAGTAAAGGAAATACACATTGACTTCATGCTCATGTCACCTACAGTGCAGTATGATTGTGCTACACTGCAACAAAAAAAAAAAAGGCAAGACTTTTCTAAAAATCAGTGTTTAATTAATTTGGCTGTCATCTATTCCAACCCTTGCTCATAGCAGAGTCAGCTAGAAGCAGGTTGTTCAGAGCCTTCTCCAACTGGATTTTGAAAATCTCCAAAGATGGAGACTCCGCAACCTCAACGGGCAACCTGTTCTAGTTCTTGGCCATGTACATAGTAAAAACATTGTTTTGTTATATTTAGGTGGAATTTCCTGTATTTTAATTTGTGCACATTGCCTCTTGTCCTTTCACTTTGCAGTACTAAGAAGAGACTAGCTTTGTCTTCTTTATATTCTCCAACCATTTATATACATTCATAAAATTACTCCACAAGCCTTCTTTTCTTGAGGCTAAACAGTCACCGTTCTCTCTGTCTCTCCTCAGATGTTTCAACCTCTTAATCATTTTAGTGGCTGTTCTCTGGATTCACTCAAATACATCCATGTCTCATACTGGGGAACCCAGAACTGCATAAAACACTCCAGATATGGTCGAGTACTGAGTAGAAGGGAGGAATTGTCTTCCTCAAACCTGCCAGAAATACTCCTTCGCATTGCAAGTTGCTTGCAATGACACTGGCCAGCTCCCTCCCTCACTTCTCAGGGATGCATCCCATCAGGTTCCATAGACTTAGAATCATAGAATATCTCAAGTTGAAAGGGACCCATAAGGATCATCAAGTCCAAATCCCGGCTCCCCACAGGACTACCTAAAAAACTAAACCATGCAATTAAGAGCATCATTCAGATGCTCCTTGACGGAGCTCTGACAGGCTCGGTGCCATGAGCAGTTCCTTTGGAAGCCCGTTTCAGTGACTGACCACCTTCTCAATGAAGAACCTTTTCCTAATGTTTAATCTGAACTTACCCTGGTGCAGCTTCATTGCATTTCCTTGTTGCTGGTCACCAGAGGGTAGATCAGCTCCTCCCTCTCCTCAGCTTGCATTCAGGAAGTTGTAGACTGTGGTGAGGTCACCTCTCAGTCTTCTCTAAGCCGAACAAACCAAGGTGACCTCAGCCAATTCCTCCTAAGTCTTGCCTTTGAGACCTTTCACCATCTTGGTCACCCTCTTCTGGACACGCTCCAATAGCTTTATGTTCTCCTTATATTGTGGTGCCCAAAACTGCACACAGGACTCAAGATGAGGCCGTACCAGAACAGAGCAGAGCGGGACAATCACCTCCCTCGACTGGCTGCCGATGCTGTGCCTGATGCACCCCAGGATACAGTTGGCCCTCCTGGCTGCCAGTACACACTGCTGGTTCATATTTGACTTGCCAGGGTCCCCCAGGTCCCTTTCCACAATGCTGCTCCCCAGTCTCTCATCCCTCAATGTGTATGAATAACCAGGATTACTGTGTCCCAGATGGAGAATCCAGCACTAGGTCTAAATAAATTTCATACAGTTGGTGATTGCCCAGCTTTCCAATCTACCCAGATCTCTCTGCAGGGCCTCTTTACCCTCAAGGGAGTCCACAGCTCCTTGTAGTTTAGTATCACTGACAAACTTACTTATTGTACATTTGATTCCCATGTCCAGATAGTTTATAAAAACTATTGAAGAGCACTGTCTGTGAAATTGAGCCCTGGGAAACCCCAGGGCTGCCAGACTGATGTTACCCCATTTACCCAACGTGTAATGGACTTGTCTAGCTGTGTGCTGGGTAGTTGATTCAGAAGGATACTGTGAGAATAGTATCAAAAGTTTGGTAAAATCTCAAAACTCCACATTTACTGGCTTCCCTTGATCAACTAGATGGCTGACCTTTTCATGAAATGAAATTAAGTTGGTTAAGCAGGACTTTCCCCTTGTAAACATGTACTGACTATAATCAATGACTGCATTGTCTCTCGGAATAACCTTCTCCATAATTTTACCAGGCACTGAAGTGAGATTGGCAGGCCTGTAATTACCAGGGTCTTCCTGCCTACCCTTTTTGAAATATTGCCAGCTTCCA